TGTTTGTTATACAAATCTCAATTGTATGTCTCCAGAGAAGTAAAAAGTTGTGTGGGTTTTTTTTTTTGGTTTTGTTGTTGTTGTCTGGTATCATCACCATTATTCATGCCTGGCAATTTTCACACTCATGTCACAAGTGTAAATTCTTACATGTAATATAACATTCTGATATGAATGTTCAGTTTTCAGCATAAAGAAAATGCAGATACGGCAAGTTGATAGCTATGTGAAACTTAACATGGTCAGTATGTCTTACCCCGAGATGCTAGTAATTCTAATATGTGCTTAGATGTATGAACATGATCTACAAGAAGAAATGTGCAATATGTGAAATTCTGAACTAAATCAGAAGTAAATCTGCTGAATTCAGGATATTAAAAAAAATGAGTGTAAGAGAGATTAGATCCTAGATAACTCTGGGATTTTAAGTATACTTTGTATGTCAGTTAAAGCTCAAGTGTTAAAAAGGATTATTGAGTAATATTTCTGTATTCAACAAGTCCACTTTCTAAGTAGTATAAATCTGCACTCACTCTAGTAAATTTAACCAAAAAAGTAAAGAATAAGGTCTCCTGAGTGTGGGTTCAGCCCAGTTTTAACCGGCTTCTGCCACCTTGGAAAGAGTTACTAAACTGTTCTTAACTCTCATTTATTTGAATCTTGAGCTATGATTTATTTGGATATAGTAGTGTCTAGATTATGTTTTTCTTGCTGTTGCTGTTGAGCTCATGTAATAGTTCTAAATTCAGAGTTAAAAAGTTATTTGGAGATACTCCTACCAAAGTAATTCATGTTTTACCTGTGTAATCAATTTTACCAGGTTTAGAGAAACAACCACATGCACTAGTGCTAAGCTAATATACATAATGTATTTATATTACTGAAGGGACATACAGTCAACTACAGCAGCAGTTAGCAGTTCAGATATTCTGCATTTAAGTATTTCCATCTGCTGTGGTTGCAGGATACTCTGTACACATGTTCTATCAATCAGTTAAAGGTGGTGTCAAATGGCCTTGAGAATTTGTCGTGTTCTGATGTCTTACTAATGCAAAGCACAATTTGCATAGAATCCAAGGTAGTAATTTGTGATTCAGCTATCCACAGAGAGATGAAGTGTGTATTGCGGGTGCTGTTTTATTTGTCATAGTTATTAAAATGTTCGATTCCTCTCAGTTTTAATGTAGTGAAATGAAAATCATCAGAGACGGGAGCTTCTAAGTTAGCATACCAGCCTTACAGCGAAGCACCTTCCAGAATACCAAGTCCCATTTGGGCTTTCCTTGGCCTTTCTTTGTTTAGAGGCAGGAAAGTTATAAATCCTCATCTACATATTTCTATTTATGCCTGGTATACTTAAAAATGTAATATTAAATCACTGCAGTATCAGCTACATCCTGTCTCTCTCACCCTCCCTGCTCCCTTCCTCATTTATATCATCAATAAAAGAAAACACATGTAATCCTTTGGCTTTGCTGCCACCGTAGTCATGGCCTGGCAGATGCTTTTTGAACAGAGGGTAGATTTATAGCACTTACAGTTCCTAACTCCTCTGAAGTTGGACCTACATGATCTTCCCAATGACCTCCTGTTTTGTTGACAGTTAGCAGGTTTTCCCCTTTGCTTGATGTTTAAATTTGTCCAACTTTCTTCTAATCCCATCATTGGTCCCTATTGTCCTTTTGTGGTGGCATTAACTTTTTTCCACACTTATTGTTGTGGGTTTTATCTGTTTTTTTCCTGTTCACGTTTAGAGCAGTGGTGGTTATGCCAAGCCAACGTCATCTTTTCCGTGTTACAAAAGTTGCCTTCTCCAAGTATTGTGCAATGGAAATTTGATGAGGGGAAGAAGGGGGAGAGAGAAAAGAAAAAGCACAGAATGTTTTGTTTTGAAGAAAATAGTCTCCGAGAATGATGTCTTCTTCAAAACTGACAAAAAAAGTCTTTTTCTCTGGAGAGAAACTTAGGGCCAAGTTTTGTTCTGGACAGCACTACTGATTTTACTGAAATGGACGCAGATGTGAACAAAGGGTAGCTTAGCTTCGGGGAGAGGGGGCTGGTGTGAATCAGAATTGTGTCTGCTGAAGTCACTGGAATATACAGATGTAAGGAATCTAAGATTAGATCAAAGACAGCTTTGGATGTGTTTCATGTACTACATATGTGAATTTGAATATAAATGCCAAGGGGATGGTTAGATACAGCCTTTTTTGCCATAGAGAATAATACAAATAACCAAACATAACCTTGGAGAAGATACTACAGCCCAGGCTTGTGACTTCAGCTTCCCAGAGTTTATAATGGCTCTTTGTCCAAAATGGAATCCTGACATCCCTTTAACTCAGAAATTAATAAGATAATTGTGATCAACAGTTAACTCTTCAGATACCTGAAGGACAAGATGATAAAAAGGGAGCAAGTACACCTGGTACGGTTTGCAGTAATGAATGTTTTCATAGGTGCTTAAGAAGTACATATCATATACTTTACTTTGCACTTTCTGTGGAACAACCTACACAGAGAAAGGCTGTTTTCAGAGAACTCACAGAAAATGTGGTTTATGTTAACCACAATGTAAAACCAATTAAAGGGGTGTTGCAGAGACCTGCTTTTCATATGGCTTATTCATACATTTCCTTAAAAATTACAGACCAGCTCCATGAAGTCTTTAGTCAGTCTAGCAAAATTCCCCATGACATGAAGTTTTTGGTCTAGATGATGATTTTTTTTTAAGATCAGCTCAGATTTTTTTTAGGTAATTTGTTATGTTTTACTCTATATTGAAGAATCATAGAAATTACAAAATTAAGATAATGATGAAAAAACACAATGATGATAAACATGTGTAAGGAGGATCTTGCACAGAAAAGCTCATTAGTGGCTTCCCTTTAGGCCAGTTTGATTATATGCAGCTGGGCACTGTGTACTCAGCCTGTGTCAGTAGAAAGATTTGTCTTGCATCATAATGAAATACACTTTATTTATCTCATGATTTATTCATATCTGAAGTTGAAATTGCTGGAGAAATGCTTTTCCCTAGGTACGCAGCTTACGACCTGGTTTTGGTGAGCTAGAGGATTCTTGCCACTACAAGTTGAGACGTTTCTGTCTATGACACTGCGTTTTCTAGGAAACCTCATGGGAGGGTACTCCAAAATCAAGAAGCCAGTCTTCACCCCCGCTGATATATCTGGACCTGCAAAGAGCTGCCCTAAAGAGAGAGCTTGGGATGTACCCAGAACAACACTGATTTATAGTCCATTGTATTATATGTACAGTTTATGCTGAGTACCTGGCAGGATTCAGCAATATATGGAGACCTGATTGTCACCTACATACTGAGAATAGGAACTAATAACTAGAGAATTTCTTCACTTTGTAGCTTCAACGCCTAAGCTGAGTTGTTCCTTCTCACTTATCCTTGGACGCCACATTATCTCCCAAAAGACCGTTAAGATCACTGCCTGTTATTTGTTAATTCATAGACTTAGCTTTTTTTATTGCTTATTGATTTTCAGTCTTTGTTTTCAATTTAATTTAGTAAAAAATGCTTGCTTTTTTGCCTAAAATACCCATCTTTAGAACTTAAGCAATACAGAATTAGGAACCACATAAAAAAGTAGAATGAGAATGAAAGAAGTATAATTGTTTGATTCAGAAAAAAAGGTGCCTCTAGAGCATCAAAAGTTTAATGAGGCAATGTGCTGTGCCATAATACTAACTTTTACATGTAATTGATTTATTTAAATGTTGTTTTCCATACAATTGTTTTGTAACTTTAGTGGAATAAAGGGGGAATTACACCTTATATAAGTTTCTATATTGAAGAAGAACTTCAAAGAAGAAAATCTTTATATAAGTGGCTTTCCATACATATCTCTAATTATTTATTTGAAGTCAGTGAGCTTGCAACTTTCATAACATTGTGTGCTACAGTAGCTGCTAACCAATAGTTCTAATAAAAATACAGATGGCTTGGTTGCCATCTGCACTTCTTTTGAGATTCTGCAATGAATATGTGATTAACCTTCTGTCACCACTTTTGAAAATAAGGTTTTTTTTCTCTACGACAAGCTTTCCTTGTACCCCCTCTTCGTCTCCTCACTTCTTCCCCTGCTTGGAAACCTGCTAACAAACCTGAGGTTTTTATAGACATCTTACTTGTCTTTATGCTTTAAGCTTTTGTGGAGGATAAAGGAAAGTACATTGGAATTTTATGTTTCTATACCTTTCACATTATGAAAAACAGACTCCCAAAATGGCTGGGTTTGAAAGACTGGAACAGATAATTAATTCATAAGTGGGTGTTGAAGTGGAAACTGTCAGGCCACAGCTTTCCCAGCTTTCACTTAATCATTTGAAAGTCGTTTTCTGTTGTTTTCACTGACTGTAATCCCTTAGAGAGAATATAAAACTTACACCATCCAGCATGGAATTCCACTCCTTTAATGACTTGGGCTCTGTGTTGACTCACTTTCACTCACTTTCACTCACTGTTGTCATTTCATACAGGAAAAGCCGTACCAATGTTCAGAGTGTAACAAGGCTTTCAGTCAAAAGCGAGGCCTAGATGAGCACATGAGAACCCACACCGGAGAGAAGCCGTTTCAGTGTGATGTGAGTTGATCTATCCCTTTGTCATCTTGACTTCAGTGCAGCAGCAGGACTTAACTGCAGCGAGACTACAGCCTTGGACCTATTGGCTGTGGCATAAAGTTACACTTCATATGGCCTTTGATTGCCTAACTAATGAAAGACCATTCAGGGAATTTTATGTACCCTCTTCAGTTGCCAAGAGCGTTGCACACCCTTTTATTTTATGGTTTTGGATCCCTTAAGAGTTATTTTCACCATTATTAATGCAATTTGGATGTTGCAAGTTACAAATTCATGCTGGTTGGGTTCCCATATAAATTGTATGACAGGTTAATAGTTGGAGATTAGCTTATACAGGAAAAGGTATTTAATTCATTACATGGAATCCAAATGCTTCTGATGTTGAATGACACAAATGTGGATTCAGAATTTCCAATTTCTGTTCAGTGAAATCTGGTCTGATACTTTCAACATCTACTCATAGGGGGTTTGGGGAGTTGTGGGGTTTTTTTGTTGTTCAATGAAGAAATCATGGATGCTACATATGCTTGCAGTGCTGAAATGCAGCGTGTCATATTACAGTTCATAGATCACTGTCAAGTACCTTTCATTCAGCAAACCCCATCCTGTATACAACTTTTCTCACAGCTTTTGGAAGGTAGCTGGGGAGGCTGAATGTGCAGAAACTATCAGAAAAGAGTGTATTTCAGAATTATCAAATTCCAAAATTTAAGTTGTTGCTTGAGTATTTAGAGAAGGGCATCAGAACAGGGTATAGAATTAGTATAGTTCTTTGTTTTGTGATACTAGCTCTTAATGAACTAGTCATAAGGGAACCGCTAGCTTTCAGTTATATTCTAGGTGGCTCAGTCTGAACAGTTGTAAATTTGTTCACAAATTTCTAAAATTAGATGCAAAATTAGAATAACCACTTGGCATGAAAGTCACAAGGGTCTATTAATTGATCTGGCTTTTAATAAATAACCTGTTGACATTTCATTGAGACTAAAATTTATCAATTTAATGAAAAATTTCAGCTACGTTATTTTGCTGATGTCTACAGGTCAGGAGATTTGCTGTATTCTTTTGGAATAATCTCAGCCTGGCTCTAGATAGTACCTTGAGGATTTCTCTAATTCCAAATAATTTGCAATAACTTTTTCAGCTTTCAGATTGCTGTACTGTTTCTCAGCTGTTGGCTAGCTTGCAGTGTAAATGCGACTTTTCCCACACTGTGGATCCAGGATTCACTGGTCTTGGATTCACAGTGTGCTTTTTCAGACCAGGCGGTGGTGGTGGTTATACTTTATTCTTTTTTCTTTCTTTTAATTGAAAATAGGAGCTTTCCTGCTTCAACTATTCTTTTAGTTTTCCTCATTAATTAGATATAACTGTATTTTCCCAAATCATAGTATTTCTAGAAACAGCTGTAATCTGTGTCTAGTCCTAGTCTTTCTCTGAGAATTTTTATGTGCCTTCATTTATGGGAGATTTTCGTAATAGTTCAAATTACTGCTGTGTTCCACCAAAATTATTCTTCAGCACTAGTCTTTTGCCAGCTGCACATTGTAGAGATTGCTGACTTTTCAGAGTTTGGAAGTAAGCAGCAGTTGCCTCTACTATTCTATCATACACTCTTCAGTTGCCCAGGTGCCTACCATGGACTGCTGCTTAATGCACACTTAAAGAGTGTTGAAAGTTTTGTTTTCAATAGTTACTTCTTATTTCATCTGGATTCCACTTTTGCAGATGCTGGGGACATAGTAAATGTCACCCAGAGAAAGACCATTCCTCCAGAGCTGTCTCACACATTGCATGTTACCAGATGTTTCAGCAGAAGTTACAGGAAGACCAGTAGTGGACAGTTACAGAACAATGTACCTATGGGAGGCTTTTATTGTTGGCTTCCCAATACTAAAGATTGCTTTTTACACTCAAATATTCTCACCTACATTTTTTTTATCCTGCTCAAGATAGCTGTAGATGTTCTCATTATTTTTCTTATAATGACTTGAGCTTTGAAGGCAATTTATGGCAACAACATCCACAAATTCTTTACTTCAGAAAGAGATTTTGGGGAGGGGTGAGTGTCTTGGGTTACTGCAATGGAATTTCAATAACCGTCTTTTAGTTCTTTCATTAACAGAAAGGGTTAATAGCTATTCCATTTATTGCTTTCTGTACCTGTGCCATGTTCCTTCTTAGTCAACTTTTCTGCAGTTGTTTCCAACACTTTGCATGACGACTTCCCATGTTCATAATCATTTTTGTTACTATTTTCTAGATTTTTTTTCCCTGTTTCCATTGCATTTTGTAAGGGGTAAAGGCATACTGTTGCTAAAGTAATTGGAAAAGTCAGTAAGTCCAATGCCCAGACCTACTAAGAATCCTTTAAAGGTGAAAAACAGGCTGTGTTTTCAATGATGGGCATATTCATAAATGTAATCATACATGAGGCCACACTGAAAGACAAAAGTCCTAAGAGGATTGAGGGGTTTGGTTTTGTTTCCTACCTGGTGTTAGAAGCAGTTGTAGAAACTATTCAGCTCTTTCTTCTAAATAACATATTAACATTTGCTGTCAGAATTTTCTTTGTTTCTTAGTACCATTAGCATTTACAAACAGGAATTGCTTTTGGTGCCAAAGAACTGAAGAAAGAAAACTTTTGGCTATTGAAAAAAAAATGTGTATTTTACGGGCTCAAGAAGAGGCTTTACTTGACAACACACCTCTCCCCACCCAATATAAACTATTACACATGAATTTTTTTAGACTGCATTTTTGCTTTAAAAAGAATTTTCTTCCAAAATCAGAAATAAAAGCTGTGTCTTCTCTTCCTTTCTCACTCTCCTCTCTTTCAGGCATATGGAACAGACATTACAGTACAGGATTGTGCTACATGTAAAAGTAATCCTTGTACCCTGTTTGATGAAGGTGCTACAGTTTCTTTATGTGGCTATTTCCGTTTCTTATCAGTCAACAAAAGCATTTTCAGAACTTAATGACTCAAAGCTCTCACATCCCACTGATAGTAATGGAAATTGAATATTCCCATTTTAAGGTGAAAATTCTAATATATGTCACATAGGAAAGTGAAAATAACTGAAATATAGAAATACAAAATGTGTTCTTTCCTAGTATATTAGGTTTCTGTCCTCTGGAGATCAGCTTGTTTTTTACGGGAAGGCCAATTGAACTTCAGTTGCCTCAGAGACAACAGATTATTCTTTGGGGGCAGAAAGGTCACGTACTGCCTGTCCTGGTTTCTTTCCAGTACAGTATTTCCCTCCACTCTGCCTTTAGTTGACCCTACACTTACTTTCAAATGTCAGTCTTTTCCATCTTCCCTACTCGATCAAAACTTTGATCATTTTGAAGAGATTGATTAGAGTTCAAGTGCACATTAGCAAGCATGGTTTTAAGTCTATAAAATGTTGGTCTTACTTATAAAATTGAAATATGAAGCAAACTCTTAAAAAAAACCCCAAAACTTATATGCATAAGCACAGCACAACATGTATCATATCTTTAATGATCCTGTGCATTCCATCTTCTTTTTGAAGAAGTTAGGTAGTAGAACATGCTAGAGCCTTGAAGGAACAGCAGGACACATTATACTAGTTACATGAGCATTAGAAATGAAAAAATGTACTTTAAGACTGTGTTATAAGGTGTATACTTTTAAGAATGAAGAGGCATGTGTAAGATACACAGAACACATACATATCTTGTATGTGTGTATATCCTTGATCGGCTTCCTGGCTCCCAAGAAACATGTTGTGTTTACAAGTATATGATATTTTAAACATGTTGAGACTTGTGAGCAAGCATGTTGGTTATGATTAGATAAATGTTATGAGTTCACTTTGTATGTTCTGTGGAATAGGAATAGAAAATGATATTTGGCAAAAGCAACATTAAGACCTGACCAGTCGATGCTGTAAGTGACATTCACTATCGCGTAACAAAAGGGTGACTGTTGCTTGGATATGAAAGAAGTAATTATACATTGAGGGGAAAAAAGGTGGAGAGTTGCAGTTGCTGTATAAAAGTCCTTGGTATTACATCATGTCATAAATTCAAAAATGTTCCATTACAACAGCACATACAGTGTTCTTGTCTGGGGAAAAATTATTTTGGGTGCAAAACTTGCCTCTGGCAATTGCCCTTTTTATGGTCATTGTATGGTTTTGCCTTAATTGGCATAAAACATATACTGCAGATCAAGATTGTCTGCTTGGATAGTCAGCTCTATTTGTGTGTCTTGGTTTCAAAAGGAGCCAGTAATCATTCAGCATTCTCATTACTAGTTTGATACCAATATGAATTTAAACTTCATTTTCCTGAAGAGGGATGGTGCTGGGTTCCCCGAGTTTCCTCTTCATGGAAGACATTTTTGTCTGGAATGAATCTGGAATTCTAAGATAGTAAGCCTGTGGATGTTCATTGTTATTTAATTATATGACTTCTGCCTATTTCATTTGTCAAATCAGGACTATTCTTTCTAAATTTATTTTTTTTTTCTGGCAAATTCATGCATACAATATGTACCTGGATGGAAGGTGAATGTGACAATATAACTGCATGATTTCAGTTGACTTGATGTCTTGCATGCAGATTCTTAACTATTCATTCTAAATTCTCTTGGCTGAACTTGTTCTTAACTTTTCATTTTGACTTCAGTACAGGAATTTTTATAAGAAGTGATGGTCTTAGCATGGCAGAGTCCGTCATCCCTCTATCCATTTATTCAAATGGCAGAACGAACTGGACTTCTTGGAGTACAGTGGAGGAAGGGAAGCAGTGTGCCAGATAATATAGCAAAGGAATTGCGCCTGCATTTGCAAGAAATCTTCTGTTTTCTTGGCCAGGCAGAGGAAGACTGGAACAATGAGGTTTCCTCTATAATAATTATTAACCTTTCTTGCAGTTTTCAGAGCCTCTTTTTTCTCGCTCCTCCTTCCTTGTAACTGAGCAATTTGAACTGATTTTTTAGGAACCCACAGGTGTCATTCTGGAGGTCAGGAAGGAAATACTTCATTTGAGATCAAATTAACAGGTGGTTGTGATGTGTTGTCATAATTTTTGCTGCATCCCAGGTAGAATAATAGGTTTTAAAAAGAAACCACAGTGTAACTGGGACACCTCATTGTGTTGATATTTTGAAGACTGGGTCTTCTTCCCCTTTTTTTCTTTTCTTTTTTCCCCCCACCCCCCACCCCCTTGCCTGTGGTACCACTGTTAATGTACAACATTGAAAGATACCAGACAGAGTAATGATCTTTAAGGTGCTCTGTGAAGGAGTTATTCTTCCAAAGACCAGCTCATTTATTAAGTATTGCAGGTACGTGTGGCTGTGGCCTTAGTGAGTAACATAAAGAGCTTTATACATGCTTGAAGTTTTAAGACTTCTTTTGTCTTTTTCTTGTCATCACTGCCTTAGGTTTGTGATCTGTCCTTCAGCCTGAAGAAAATGCTGATCCGCCACAAGCTAACTCACAATCCCAATCGACCGATGGCAGAATGCCAGCTTTGCCACAAGAAGTTTACAAGAAATGACTACCTCAAAGTGCACATGGAAAATGTCCACGGTGAAACTGACAGCTAATTACTGCGCGTGTGAGAAGAACGGATCTCACGTTCCAAAGTGCTCCATTTGTACGTGTACAAACTCCAGACATCTCACCTGACTAGTAAGCAGAGTCAGGAGAAACAACTGTAAGGTGTTCACATGTTATTTTTCCCACTTTTTTTAAAAAAATATACTAGTAGGATAAAACCCAAAGAAAGACATTCACCTGAAGTAAAACATAGCTGGAAGATAAAAAGTTGAAGATAAAAGAACTTGGGGAAAATTTTATCCTCATGTAAAAAAAAAAAAAGCAAAGCAAAAAAAAAAGCTTTAAGTAAACTTCACTGTCTTAATTACCAGCCTTAGAAACTTAGATATTGGTGGCGTTACCTGGAAATCCTGGACATTTGGAACTGAACCCTTGGCTGTCTGCAACTCTTTCTGTATCTAATCTTTAAGACGCCATTAAAATTCTTTACTTTGAAACCATGCAGAATTTGTCATTCTGATTGACTGCTGATTGCATCCAGGCATATTTTATTCAGATCCTAATTCTGCATTTTGTTATAGCATGATTTTGTCTCATTTTATTTAGACCTTTGTCTTTACTAGATGAAACTCATTAACTTGTATTGGTTCTTGAGATGCCAAAATGTATGGGCAGAGAAACTGGAAATCTGTCACGTTAAGTATTTCTGTATGAGCATTGAGAAGGATGTATTTCTTCTGGTTACATGAAACAAGACTGAAGTGAAAACTTCGAGCAATTTAGTTAAGTACTATATTCATTCTCATTGTGACTGGCAAGGCAAGTGGAAAGACATCTTTAACAGAGTGGCTTGAACAGCTACAGTTGCCTAGTTAACATGTATTTGATTTTCTGGTGAACAGCTGGTTCCCAGAGTGTTTCTTCCTGCTGAATCAGATGCCCTGGATTTCTTCATCCCACTTAACTACCTTTGTTTTCTTAATTCTGTTAAGGAGCACTGGGAAAAATACTGCTTTACAACTGACAATCAAATTCTTCATGTTATCAGATTGAGTCGTTTACTGCAGTAAAACTCTTGAAAAGAGTTCCCGCAGGCCTTCTTGTACCACAGCTAGATAACCAAGAAATTTTTCTCTACAAGGACAGTAAAACTGTAACTTCAGAGGGTGATATCTTGTGAAATTCCTGAGTTACCAGCGGTTAATACTAAGGCTCTGTCGTTAGTAAACTGTTCATAGTAATCTTGGACCTGTCAATGTTTTGCGAAATGAACTTGCGTTGGGACCTCTTCTAGTTTTCATGGGAAAAGACTTCAGCTTCTTTCTGAACTGCAGTGGGGACAATTACGCTGAAATGAGCAGTATAATCATCTCAGAGTAGACTCTCTACTCAAATCTGTTTATCACATGGTAGATTTTCTACTCAGAAGAACAAAAAAGAAATAGCATTAGTAGTATTGCTAGTGATGGAAAGAGCTAGCAATAGAAGATGTTGATATATTTAGTGATTAATCCTTCCATCTCTACTAATAGTTTGGATCCCATTCTTCTGCATGGACATCTGTATGTTACATGTTCGGCTTTAAGACCCAGCACTGGATCCCAATAGTAATCTTTTCCAAAGCAATTAGTTTTCTCCAGAAGATAAGCAGAAGACATTTGGTGTTTTTCTCAGAAGCTGAAGAAGGCATGCCGCTAACAGCGGTAATTATAATTACAGGGTCTATATCAGAGGGTCTTAGTTTTTTCTAGGAAGCCTCCTGTTTTGTTATGAGACTGTCTTCAACCTTCTTTCCTTTCTTTTGGAAGCCTATAATGCTTCATGACAACAAACTAACAAGTTTACAGGTGTCCTTCACATTTACAAGGAAGTTGTACACTTAGATTTATAGGTTCCCTTTCTTAATGAAACCAGGTCACTTACTGCTAGCAATTCTAACAAATTCAGGAACAAGCAGGAACTGTCATTGTTTTCAGCATTATAGAAAACTTCAAAGTGATGTCTTCCCATTTATTTCAAAGGTCCTTGGCTCAAGTTACATATGACTAGTTAGGCTTGAATGAGCCACCTGCAAGGTATCTGCAGGAAAAGCAGTAACCTTCAGCCATATCTGCAGATTTGAAATTGGAATCCAGTGTCCCCTAGGCTGATCTGAATTGAGAAAAGAATAAAGCATAGTAAAAGGAACAGCCATATGGTCCGGACCATAATGTAATTGTATAAAATAGGCCACAGCAGTTACAGTGATGTAAATTCATGTGAAGAGGATCCTGGAAAAGACCTGCATATGGAAAACCCAATTTCATATGATGTTGTTCTGTAATGTATCGGTTCAGTGTGGAACAAGTGACTTAGGAGTTACACTGATGTGTGACAGAAAAGTATATCACTACATGTATATGTTATGTAATTTTCTGTTATGATGTAACCTCTATGGTGTTATGTAATAACCTTTCTGCTCTCTTTAAATTTAATTAAATATAGACCTTATTTTCCTATAATTTTAGTAATGTTTTACAGTATTAGTTTTGAAGGCAAATGGCACGGCTGATGTTTCATTAATTATTCAGTAACACTTGAATATTTTATTGCATTCGGTTTGCCCATTGAAATGCATATACTTAATTGTTTCTAAATTGTTTAGGATTCCTGCAGATTTTGAAGAAGTGTTATTACGAATATTTCACTTGTTTGTGACAACCATCTATGTGTAAAAGCATAATAAGTCTTCATGCCCTTTTTGTTTCCTGAGAGGTATGTGAAACTTGGAGTCTTTGCCAGATCATACAAATCATTTCTTCATAGAAGTCAAATATATTATGTGTAAGACATATGTAGTAGAAATAGGCATTATAAAGTTGAGTAAAGAATACTTTCTTTCTTTATTTCGAGTGCTTTTATTAGAGAGTTTATCAGACTAGTATGTTTCTAGGTCCAGAGAACTTTAACTTATTGCTACATTTATTCTAAAAATTAATATAATTTCAGTGTTCAGGTAGAAAAATCAATCAGTACTGTCCTGGTTTCAGCTGGGATAGAGTTAACTGTCTTCCTAGTAGCTGGTACAGTGCTATGTTTTGAGTTCAGTATGAGAAGAATGTTGATAACACTGGTGTTTTCAGTTGTTGCTCAGTAGTGTTTAGACTAGAGTCAAGGATTTTTCAGCTTCTCATGCCCAGCCAGGGCACAAGAAGTTGGGACAGGACAGAGCCAGGGCACCTGACCCAAACTGGCCAACGGTGTATTCCATACCATGGGACGTCCCATCTAGTTTAGGAACTGGGAAGTGGGGGCAGGGAATCGCCGCTCGGGGACTGGCTGGGGGTCGGTCGGCGGGTGGTGAGCAATTGCCCTGCGCATCATTTGTACATTCCAGTCCTTTTATTACTACTGTTGTCATTTTATTAGTGTTATCATTATTAGTTTCTTCTTTTCTGTTCTATTAAACCGTTCTTATCTCAACCCAGGAGATTTACTTCTTTTTCCCGATTTTCTCCCCCATCCCACTAGATGGGGGGGGAGTGAGTGAGCGGCTGCATGGTGCTTAGTTGCTGGCTGGGGTTAAACCACAACAAGTACCATATACTGAGCTGTCTGATGGTGTTTTAACTATATGTTCTTAATTATCTGCAAGGAGAATTGGTGACTTTTTTTGACATGTCTGAGGTGGGACAACATTGCAAAGGTGACTTTATTTTTTGTTTGTCTTTTTGACATCAATAAAATCAAAAGTTTAGTCATAGAAAAATTGAGATTACGATTTTTTATATTTTTCTTCCTTTATATTGTTCCTTCTTCCATTTGGTCAATGCAAACTAAGGCACAGAGAGTAGCAGAATTAAAAGCTCTCCCCCCCCCCCAAACCTCCCAAAATAAAGAAGTTCAAAAGTGAAGATTTTCTAAGCAGTTTTTGAGGGACAATGCTATTAAAACACAAAGAAGAAAATCTTTTTTGGAGGGAAAAAAAAAAAAAGATAATTTAGTATATTTTACATAGGGTTTTTGCCAGAGGTCTTTGCTGCAAAGTTGTGTTACATGTTTAGGATTAATAATTGTATTTGAGAAAAATAGCTAGTCACGGAAAGTCAGTCATTAAGAGGGGAATGTACTTTTTTGGGTTTTAATTATTGCTGGATAAATTACAATATACATATTGAGATTAATCATGCTGTATGTAATCAATAGCAGCAGTTAACTAACTGAAGGTTTGATCTTGTTAATGGCTTCAACAGAACATGGGATAGAGAGGATCAACGTGTGAGTGAAAGATCTTTATGAGAAACACAAGATGTAGGTGCAGGAGGTTGAAGCATAGCTCCAGGAGATGACTCTTTGATCATGTCCACCAGGAACTTACCTTGTGGGCTAAAGCAGCTGCAGATCTGCCTGAGCTCCTCCAGAGCTAGCACCTGGCTCAGCAGCTGCAGGTGTTTCCATGGCAAGTGATGCCCTGTTCTTTCCATGAGGTGCTTGAATTTCTTGCAGTTGGAGGTAATAATGATTCACATTACTGAATTCATGGTGCTGAATGGTGTAATTGAGTTTATATGCAATGCAGACTTACCATTATGCAATATATTTCTATTTGGTCATAGTTGTCTTAAAAAGAACCCAAAACAAAACCAAACACAAACCCAAAGAAAAACCCTAAACCAACAAATCCTTCTCCTTTGAGTAAAGATTTCCATCGACATTCTCCCACTTGGTATTACCTTTGGAAAAGGTAGAGAACATTCCCTTCAGCTGATTTTGAGGAATGAGAAATTGAAACCTGTTGGTTTAAAGGTAATTGTTAATTATTTTGTGTGTGTTTGTATGTTGGTTTTTCTTTACTGTCTACTAAGGCAAACTGACAAAATTTATCATTAGTTAAAATACTGATTTTTCCATGGTAATTTGTGCCATGCAGAATAACATGAAAAGCTAGAGATATTCCTGAAATAGTGTGTAGTCACTGAAATTTTAGAAGGCTGTGATTTTTTTCTTTTCCCCCTACATTGTATAATTTTCTGCAGATCATAACATTCAATTTGTTCTCTTTATTTTT